CAGAGGACCATGCATGGTCTTTCTGAGATGTGTAACAGTTGGCCACGCACCACCCAGGACGTGGAAGAAATGTGTACCAGATTATCCAGACATTGTACTGTTCAGCTTTAAAGCAGGGCTGTTGAATCTCAGTTGCTGGGTGTCACATCAGTCTCACAGAGCAGCTTTGAGAGACTTGTAGATGTCTTTTGATGGATAACAATGTTGGTGTCTTCCCCCTTACGTCTGTATTGCAGGGGGATGACCTGGAACAGGGAGGGCAACCAAAGAAGTTTCATCCTAAAAGACAGATTGCAAAACAAGCCTGTGTGCTGTTAGAAAGAGATTTACTCCTTAGGCTTTTGTCTACCAGTTTCTCCTATATCATCAAGGGAAACCCCGGTGTCTGCTCCTACTAATCTGATAATACTTAGATTTTTCCTGAGTAGCACTAGCATGAAAAGTACACAGCTCTTGTCATTTTTTTATAGCCTGATATGCTGCACTCAGCATGTGGATGGTAAAGGGAGAATTTGATAATAATCTGCACCTATCTGAATGATATATGTACCAAGAAGGAAAAGCAATTGTTTCAGCTAGTGAAAGAAGTGTAACTAGGAAAATCTAGCAAAGGCTGAATATCAGGAAATGCATCGTGACAGTAACATCTGTTGGAATGCAAAGTAATCTCCCTTGGAAAGTGGTGGGATCAGCATTGCTTCTGACATTTGAAGCTCAGTGAGACAGAACCTAATTTGATCTACAGCACACTTGGCTTCCAGGGAGGCCATCTGTATGATCCACTAGATTTTTTCCATCCCTAACTTCTGCAACTCTGTCTTTCTGCCTCTCCCTGGGTGATGAAATATCATTATAACCTTTTGAAATAATATATTGGTGCCTGGAGAGCAGAGAGGGATTTTCTCATTTGCAAGTGAGAGGCAGCGTGTTAAATTACCATTCCTGTCATTAAATGGATTGAGTAAAGAATTTGATGTGTTTAAAATAGGGCATTTTCCCCCTCCCCAAACGAACTGCCTAAGACTTCACGTTGGGGGGGGCTGGGAAGGTGAGGGTTACAAGTTTAAATAATGTTCGTCATATTCCCTGAGGCTTAGGTCAGTGGAAGCTGCTTGACACCTGAAAATGTTTCAGCGAATCTGACAGGTAA